AATGTCTCCTTAAATGTCAGACAGGTTCTCTAATAAATACGAGATAGGTTCTATTTATAATATCCATTAACGGTAGACGTGACGGAATCAGAAATTTTTGTCAATGGGAGCTATTAACTAAAATTAAATTTACAAAAAATAAGTATTTCTTAATGTACAATAATTATCCCTGACGGATTTTTATGCCTTGAACGTATTGTATTATAATTTTATAATCAAGGCCATTGAAAATTGATTTTATAGTCTTTATGTGATGGGGTTATAAGATTAATTTTAGTGGTGGCTAACTATATATGAATGTAATACCTTAATGGTTTCGTCCATGATGCTAGTAGTCTCTTCTTAGTTTTTTTTTTTTTAAGAAATTAATGAATTACCGAATACATATTTATCCGACCATGTGAAAAATATTATTTTTTCTACTTTTGCCCTTTCAGTTTCCTCTCTCTTGTCTCTCTTTTTTTGTCAACATCTTAAAGCCTCGTTCGCTTTGCGGATTCGAGTTTCCAATTCGAGTTGAGATGTGACATTTTTTTAGAGTTTTTAACTGTAATAGAAAAAGTTAGACGTGACATTTCTTAAGAACTTTTAACTGTAAAAATCTAAAATTAAAAACTCAAATTAATAAAATGAACGAGATTTTAATTCTTTCTTTTTTAGGAAAGACCAAGTTTATTTCTATTGGAGTGGCAAAAGGATACTCTTCTCCGGTCCATAATTCACAATATTTGAGATCAAGAAAGGAAAAATGCCCCAATGGAACAGTCCCTATATTGCGCACCAGCGAGGAAAATAAAATAAGAGCGAGATCCTTTCAATCAAGTCATTGTCTCCATCAAGTGATCAAAGAACACTCAACAAAACTCAAATAGCAATTCGTCGAGGTTTTCCCTTTCAAATGAAGATAATATTCTTATTAATCATGATCAATATTTCTTAGTGCACTTGATATAATATGTTGGTCCAATTTTTTTTTAATATAAATGATATATTGGTCCTTAGTTACCGTTTCTTATTGAGACTTTCTAATAAACTCAGCTATTGTCATTGAGTCTATGACTACTGATGATCTATATGAAAATAAATTTTCCGAATTAATTTATCCAACATAAATTTGTCCCATGTAATCCGACCGTTCGGTTTGATAATCATATATATAATACTTGATTCGAATTCACGAATTTAATGACTCCACAACCATTTTTTTAGGGAACTAGATAACCAAATTATATTATAACCGAAATATATGTAATATTATAATATTATTGTAATTATATTAACTATTTTAATAATATTATTATATTCTATATTATAATTAATAATATGTTATTTAATAATAGTTTTATTGTATTATATTAAATATAATAATAAATATATATTATATTATAATTATATATATTATATTATAATATACTATAATATAGTCGTAATTTTTAACTATTCATAGTAATTCAACCTCATAATTTATCAAGCGCTATTATAATAATTTTAGAACCAGCACAACTACTATAATTATTATTTACCAAACACTAAACTGTTTTTTATAACAGTTGCATTTTCTTTCAGCACAGCTAAAAATAGTTTTTTCAAAATCTACACAATACCAAACTAAAGCCGAAGTCTATTGGAGTCTTAATGTTGATTGGCCATATTTTTCACCCACATGGCAGCTTTAAAGTATGTTTGGTAGTGATTCTTAGAGTGCAAAATTAATTCTCTAGCCATTCACAACTGAAATTTGTGTTTGGTAAAAACTATAAAAAATTATTCTTAAAGAATTTTTGAAGAATTTATAGTCAAAATCAGAAGTAGTTCAAAGACAACTTTTACTTTTAAATTGTGTGACAATCATCTTGAAGTACAATTAATGAAAGTTTCATAATACCCATAATACCCCTAGAATAAATAACTTTCATAATACCCATAGAATAAATACTTGTATAATTACAGTTTACCAAACACTGAACTGTTTTTTATAACAGCTGTTTTCTTTTTTAACACAATTAACAATATATTTTTTTTTAAAATATACAGCACTACTAAACTGGCCCTTAATATAATATCTTTTGATAAAATGCCTCACTTATAGATTGACTCTTAGATAGGATAATGTGCAATAAGTTCGTAACAAAAACGTTGTCACACGAAGGGAAAAAAAATACGCTTCTAAGAGGTATTTTATAGGATATTGACGATAACTTGCAGCCTACTTTTGCACTAGCGGTAGTCTACTGTGACACCAATAGTAATCACCCATGGTAAGCTACCGTTTTACTAAAAGTAATATGGCTTGTTAATGAAGATATCCGGCTTTTATGGTGTTACCACTAATAGTCTAACAAGTTACTTGCGGTAGTCTGTCATGCTATGACCATTTCTAACAAAAATATTAAAGAAAAAAGAAAAAACAAGAACTTAATGAAAGCAAGGTCGTGTTGTTGTGGACAGTGGATGTGTCTGAATGCTTCTTGGGAGAGTGGGAGTGCCAACTTGGCCTACCACCTGGCAATGTGGGAGTGAGGGAGGGCGGAGATCATGGAGGGTGAACCACGGTGCCCTCTCCCCCGCCCGCAGCACTACTCTCGTGCCACCATCACAGAGTCGGTGTGCCACAGTTACCATATATGTTGTTGCCTGCATTTGCTAAAGCGGCACAAAGATAGCAAGCAGTGGAGAGGAGAGAAACCGTTTAGTTCGCTGTTTTGAGTTTTAATTTGAGTTGAGATGTGATTTTATGTAAGAATTTTTTACTATAGTAAAAAAGTTAGATGTGATTATTTTTTAAAACTTTTTACTGTCACAAAACTCGAATTCTAAACTCAAATTAGTGAAATGAACGAGATCTAAAAAAAAGACACGTCAAATCTCAAAATCATGGTAGTAAAACATCTCAACACTTTCTATTTTTTGAACAATCTTGAAAAATATGCAAAATAGAGACGATGCCAAAATTTTGTTGTTCAATTTGTCTTTTTTTTTTTCCTTATAATATATATATATTTTTAATTATTTTTTGCGTTGCCCTTACAACCTTATTTTAATTCTGTTTACATCTCATGCAAAATCTTCTTTTTCAAGGCTATCTTTGAAAATGGGTATTCGAAGTCAGCCACCCCCTTTATTTGTCACTTTTTATGCAAGCCAAGAATAAATGTTTTAAATGTTAATTATTCAGATTACATATAGTTAATAGCATCATATATATTACAGCAACAAACTTCATTAAAAAGTGGGATGATTAATTTTTCATGCTAAATAAACGGATAGAAAAATGCCTCTATGTGAACAAAGTGAGTAGTATAGAAATTAGTACTTGTGATGGAAAGTCAAATAAAATGATTTTTTATGGGGTGTTTTTCCAAGTTATCGTGGGAACGAGAGAAAGAGATTTAAGCCTAGTGTACTCATAGAGGAAAAATGTTGACAAAAAAAAGTTGTTGACTGGTTTGCTTATTCAAGAATACTTAGAGACATGGTATTAAACACCATTACTAGTAAAATATGAACTTCATTTGTAAACCTCATATTACGGGATAAACTTTCTATTAGTGGATAGTGCTGAACACTATCAGTATCGTGTCCATATCTTTGTTCATGCTTATTAGTTTTTCTCGGTTGACCTTGTCGGTAGTGTTGAGATCCTAGCAAGAAGTACTAATTCCTTTATAACCTATGGTGTGAACATACATGAGCTTTGAAGATTTCAAAAGCAACTTGTGCTCAAGGGCCAAGGCTAATTTCATCGTAGTTTCGTCACAGAACACATAAAAGTTTCCTCTCAAATTAGTATATGAAAAACTTAAAAGAAACAAATTAAATAGAAAAATTAATTAAATTTCAAACAAAAGATCTCTACGACTTATTAGAATCAGTAAAATGAATGCAAATATAAATACTAACTAACTACATCCCACATTGTATAGAGAAAATGATGATTGTAATGACTTTTCTATTTAAGAAGGATCATGAATGAAATAGATGCAATCTTATAAATAAGTAATTAAAAAGAATAATAATAAAAATATTTTTGTATATGTCTAGCATTCAATAATTTATTGACAATCCCAGAGCGGTCTATAATTATTTGTTGTTATAAGTTAGTTTTATGTCATTTTACTGCTTATTTTCTCTAAAACACGTTGCTTTGTGATCTTGTTGCATATGAAGTCATTTAAAAGTTAAATGTTTATTGTCCTTTATTTTCGATTGTAAAAACATGTTGTCATTTTGAGTTTGTGACGAAGCCTCAAAACCCTCAATTCTCGTGTGCGCATGCTCTAGTGCACACACTATTTTTCCATCGGATTTTAACGGAAAATGAAACTAAAAAGACAAAATAGGAGGAAAAAAAATTCAGTCTTAAGAATATGTAGTGATAATTTTTCAAGTAAAGCTGGAAGATATCAAAAACACTAAAGTTCAGGGTATACTAATAGAGATTATTGTTAAAAATAATATCTTATACATTATAATACTTTTGACAGTGAGATGATCGTTGTTGAGTTCTATCAAATTATTAGATTATTTATAATTTAAAACTATGTTTTTTCTTTAAAAAACATGAGAAATTAAAAAAAAAAAAAAACATTCCTTGTTTAAAGTGGAAAAGAAAAACATGCAATATCCGAATCCTTTGAGATTTCATCAATCATCATCATCATCGTCAATTATATCAATCAAACTACAAAAGAAAGTGCGACAAGTAAAATTAAGAGAAATATTAGTATCATTATTTCTATTATTATCTTTATTATTTTTTATATTTATTATTTAATACGTGAATTTTATTATTTTATTTTTTATTTAAATGATAATATATCATTTTGATGAAATTTACGTATCAAACGGTAAAAATAAATAGTAACATGAGTGGTTAACATTTATTTTAAAACTAAATCAAAAACCCTAAAATGAAATAAAAAAGAAAAAGATCTAGAAACCCTAAAAACTTATAAAATTAGTTTTTTCGGCTCCGCTTTTCATTCCCCTAGTTTCTTTAGTTACATTTACTCTCTCTCTCTCTCTCTCTAGTTTCTCACTTATTGTTATTACACACTCTCTCTCATAAAGTAGGTTACGAGTAGATGATTCACTGAACCGGAAAAACAAACCCCATTTCCTTTTCTTTTCCTTTCTCTTTCGTGTTTTCCCTGAATCCAAACACCCCAAAGACAGGAAATCTCAGCCCCATTTCTTTGATTGATCTTTCTCTGGACCTGATGGACTCACGGGAAGCGACGGCTCCGCCACCGCCGGCCCCACAGAACATGATGGTGGGCCATAACTCGTACGCCAACGCCATGTCCAACAATCACAATCACGGCCACAGCCACAACCACAACCACACCAACAACAACAGCGCCGCGTCGTCGATGATGGGCTCGAACTCGATCGGCTCGGCTCAGATGCTAGGGGGCGGCGGCGGCGCCAGATTTCCGTTCAACTCGGTGACACCGCCGCCGCCATCGGCCTCCAAACCCTTGGACTCTCTGAGCGCCAATCCGTACGATGGATCTTCGTCGCCGGGGCTGAGGCCCTGCGTCGGCGGCGGAGGGTTCAGCATCGACTCCGGCTCCAAGAAGAAGAGGGGACGGCCGAGGAAGTACTCGCCGGACGGCAACATTGCGCTGGGACTGTCGCCGACGCCGATTCCTTCGTCGACCGCGGTCGGCGGTGGTCACGGTGACTCGAGCGGCACCACGCCGTCCTCCGAGGCCTCCGGGAAGAAGCACAGGGGCAGGCCGCCGGGCTCCTCGAAAAGGCAATTGGACGCATTAGGTAAATTGATCTGATTTTTGTTTTTGTGAGTGAAATTGAAATTGTTTGCTTTGATTTGTTTTTCATTTTTGAAACCGATGGTCATTTTGCGTGGTTTTGCAGGTGCTGGTGGAGTTGGGTTTACTCCCCATGTGATTATGGTGAAAGCCGGCGAGGTATGTGAATCAATTCTGGGTTAAGTTTTTGTTGTTGTTTTTTGGTTTTATCATCTATGTGTTGTTTTGTTGAGGAAGTTGTGCTGTAAAATGGTTTCTTCAAATGCATCTGTTGTCGTTTTGTTTTAGCTGTTTGTGTTGGTGATTATCTAGTACAACGCGTAGTGATCATGCATTTGTTACCTCTGTGGCTAGTTCAGAAGTTTGAGTTATTGTTAGTTCTTCTCTCAGGAGGGAGGAGACCAAAAAATTTTTTTACTTGTTAGTGTTTGTTTTACTGGGTGATACAAAGCTTACCGTTCTAAATTCAGTGTTCTTTCGTGATTTTTCACATCAAGTTAAAACTCTATTCTTTTTTAGAAAATAGAGCTTTTGTTTAATTGTTGCAAAAGTTTGAAGGTCATGGAATATATGCTATATTTGCTGGTCAAGGAATATTGCTTTTATGATCAGATGTCTATGTAGAAGAGGGGTGGAGTGACAAGTTTCGAGAATTTAAGATAAAACAAATGGCGTGGTCCGTTGAAGACATATTCCTTAATATGTAATTCTTTAGCAAAGGCGGTCAGGTTTTATTAAATGACCTCTAAATCTCGACATCATATGTTGTCGTTACATGAAATCATATTGATGAAGACAATTTTGTGCTATATACATATGCAGTTGATCTTATAGCCTATAGGGTTTAAGGGGGGTAATCATGGGGCTTCGTCAAGCCATTGTGCTTTTAGTGTCATGAGGTTGCTTTGATATTTACTTGTATTTATTTGATAAATCAGTTTGAATGAATCTTTCTTTTGCCTGTATGTTGTCTTAATCTTAGCGTCACAAAAACCTTCAATTTTTTTTAAGTCTGGCATGCAACATTGTTGCATTGTGCGACTCAAGGAAATACTAAATTTTCAGTTTGCGAACACAAGAATTATTGTTATGTTAAAATGCATGCTTAATGAGTTTTTTCCTGGAAGTAACTTTTGTGATCTTTTTGAACAACATGCCAAAGTGTTGAGTTATGGGTTCTGATCTAAGTTTGTAGGATGATTTGAATTGATAAAAATTATGAATCATAAGGTAAAGACATGATGCCACTTTATAGAGTTTCTTTCCATTCTTTGAACACATCCTACCTTTCCAATATGGCAAAGTAGCTGGAAGGTGATAGACAGTAGGATTGTCTTCAGGTACTCAAATGTCGCTTTGGTACCTGTAGTACTGTGCTATTGTGTCCATTTGATTCCTCAATTAATGGGTTGCTGTGCAGATTAAGACTGTTATGATCATTTAGTTATGGTTAGTAACTAAACTATTTCCATGTATTTATTTGTATGCATTATTGGATTTTGTTTAGATGAACTAACAAGTACTATTAATAATTGTTATCAATATTTTTCATCGGTTAGATATGGGGTTTGTAGATGAATTTATTGTCTATACTATGCTCTGTCTAGTGCAAATATTAATTTTGTCGGAACTTCTGAGATCTTTAATTCTTGGTTATGAATTATGTTTATTCAATATCGTTTCTTAGATTTTCTTGTGCCAACAAAGTGATGCTTTTTTGGAAAAGAGAAGCTTCTCATTGACGCTTATGTGTTCCAGGATATAGCATCAAAGGTTATGGCATTTTCACAGCAAGGACCACGTACAGTTTGCATTCTCTCTGCCAATGGTGCCATCTGCAATGTTTCTCTCCGTCAGCCAGCACTGTCTGGTGGTACTGTCACATATGAGGTATCCTTACTATTGTAAAGTTGAAAAGTTTGCAAAAGTTAGGCTTTGTGCCATTACATCCAGTATTATTCTTGAGATAGGTTGAACGTGTTTATAATTTTATTTTATTTTATTTTATTTTTTTTGCGTGGGTAGAAACGCGTATATAATGGTTAATTCGAAATATTTAGGTAAAAGAAGGTAAAAGAAGTACGATTCAGACACGAGAATATATTTGCTGTCATATGATACACCATGTATAATCAGACACGAGAGAATATATTTGCTGCGAGAGGATACATTTACTGACATTATACACCATGTATAATGTGCTTTTTCCTTTTGGAAATGTGACAATTGTGCTGAAAATCATATTCTTTTCGTGGGGATATATGTGCACAATTGTCACTTGTCATAGATTAATGGCAATTACTAACCATCTTCTGTTGTTGTTCTGGTCTTGAGCCGAAAGAAACGAACTCCACAAGCTATATTTTGTTCCTTTTTGGCTTAGAATTTAGATTACACTATCTTATGGCCCAGGTCTTAAGAAAAGTAGTTGCGAGATTCTTGGTAGTTGGTAGTAGGAAGGAGAGATTAAACTAGAAATACTAACTTATTAGAAGAATATTTTACGATTTCACAATAAGGTTAAAGACATATGGACTCAAGAATTTATTCATCTCTGATAGATCAGGAAAAAGTTCTATGTTGATGCAATACTAGTTAGATTCCCTCACATAAAGTAGATCAAACAAAACTTATGCGCTCAAGGTTGAGCTGGTCCGGTAGTTGTCACACAAGAGAGAAAGAGAGTTGCAACATAACAGTTGAGATAGTTGGATTCTTCTGACAAACACTGTGAATGTTGGGTGCTAATTGTTCTCAAACAAAATATTTTTCTTTCTTTCTTTTTTATTTATTTATTTATTTTAATTAAAGGTATAGTGAAGTATAGTTAATATACACTAGTAAATGGTTGCTTAGAGAAGAATTTAAATAATTTAATAAACGGCCTTCTTCTACTCTGTCTACAAGGGGTGCTAGAATGCTGCTAAGCAATAAATCTAGAAGCAAAATTGTTAAAGAGTTTGCATAAATCTACTATGCTACTCCATGAAAGATTCCAGATAAATGTAAGGGAAATATTGTTGTAGACACGAAAGAACTATTTTTCCTTGGCAACTTATATATTTCAGTAATTTGATTTCCTCAGTTCTTGTATCATGGTAGCACTTAAGGTAGATAGCGGTTACACGCTTCAATCTCTAGGGAACTTTGAAGAACTTTTCAATGAGAGTCAAATGGTGTAATTTACGCCATTAACAATCCTGTTTCTGAATCATTATGTTCCATTACTTAAATTGCTCGGGCTTCCAAAATTTAAGATTGACAATATTCAACTTTGTGCTACGTTAAGTTTTCATCTGATCCTATGTCTTTCTAAGTGATATAATATGGTAAAACGTTCTTGTTAATTTTTATTTTTAATATCTTCTCGGTGCATGAATTTCTTCGTCCATTATTTTATTTATTTCTCTTTTCTTTTTCAGGGGCGATACGAAATCATTTCTTTGTCAGGTTCCTTCTTCATCTCTGATAATAGTGGTAGCCGCAGCAGGATAGGTGGATTAAGTGTGTCACTTGCTGGGCCTGACGGGCGAGTTTTGGGTGGTGGAGTTGCAGGAATCCTAATGGCAGCATCGCCCGTGCAGGTACAACTCTGCCATATTTTCTTGTATATGTGGCGGACATAATGTGGCATATTATTGTACATCCAAATGATCTCAAAAGAAGCCCATTTACTGTGTAGGCTAGTAACTGATAAGCGTTAGACCAATAAAAAATCAAAACCAACGCATCTTTCTTTTGCAATGGCCTTGTGCATAATAACAGGTCATAGTTGGAAGCTTTATCGTGGATGGAAACAAATCGAACACCAACAGTGCTGTAAAGTCTGCACCAGCTGCACCTCAACCCCAAATGTTAAACTTCGGTGGACCTATGGCAGGAGGTGACTCTCCCTCACACGGAGACTCCAGCGAGTCGTCTGAGGAGAATGGCAATGGCCATCTTAACAGAGGCCCTGGATTCTATAATGCTAGTCAACCGATCCATAATATGCAGATGTATCATCACTTGTGGGGTAATCAGACACACCAGTGAAGAAGCATTGCAGTTAACAATACGGCGCATTGGGGTATTGACTTTGACGATTATTAGATCTATTTATCCGATGAGGTCAATTCCAAATGCTAACATGCACTGTAAAAACCGCTTTTAGGAGGGTTGATCCTTTAGTTCTTCTAGATGAGTTTTTAGTTCTTTTTTTTTTTTTTTGAATAGTTAACGATTTTTTTTTTCCCCTTATTATTTTGCCCCTCATCTCCAAATGATTTAAACATGGCTATTGTTGATAGCGGAGGATATGCCATCCACTTTATAGGTTGTCACGAGCTCAATTTACATTTTAAGTTGTTTTGCTTCTCTTGCATCTTCATTATGGTTCCAGCTAGCAGTTTCTGAACTTCATTTGTAAACTTGGTCCACGAATTATGAAATTTATAGCAGTCTCCGATATCATTGTATGATTTTCTTTCAGCCGCATATCTCAAAATTGCACCTACTAAAAAGACCTGTAACTTTACATATTGTCAAATGACACTGAACAATTCTGGCCGTCTTTGGTTCATGAGTTTAAAATTATGATGATTTGAACCTTTTTGATTTCTTTAGAGATTTAATTCAAGCTGGTGTTTGAATATGTAAATAAATTATAATATGAATTGGGAATAAGAGTTGAATTGTGTTTGAAAACTGTGAATAGAGTTTTGCAACAAATTTTATAAAATCTCATTATAAATAGTATATTTAAATATGCAATATGAATAATGTTTTGTTCCTCTATTCATTATGAATACATAGAAGAATAATAATTTTAATTGGAGCTAAAACAAAGGAATGATATTTTTTTAAGTTTAAAGCTGGAAAGAGAGAATAAAAAGCAATTGTGTCTGAACCGTTTATGACAATTCGGAATGTTAAATTTAGAGGGTATTCTAAAATTAACCATTCGAATTGTGGTTGGTGATCTGAATGACTCCTCCTTATTTATAAACCAAATACTGATTTGAACGTTTAGGCCTATTCGAGATGAATTGTATACGGACACTAAATATGGTAATCAATGTCAATGACGTTTCTTAAGCAATGTGGGACCTGGATTATTTAAGAGAGAGTGGGAAATAATAGCCAAGTTAAAGAGACTCTCGAACTGCGTAATACATGAGTGCAGATTGTGAGTGGAACAAAGAGGGCAATCGACACACACCTAATGCCAGCCCCAAGTCCGAAGTACCCAACACAACTTAATGAACCAAATGCCATTAGCCTCTACTTGGAGCCAACTAGCCAAATGCGATTCACGTATTGGTTTAAAGTTTGGACATAAACCACATTGTCTTTTTGGCCCTACATTTTAGTTGAACTTAAAACATCTAAATTCACCCTAAAAGAACATATAACACTTGACAATTCTACTCAAACTACCTTTAGAATGTGTTTATGATCTCTCTAGATTAATGTGGGACCTAGATTATCATAACTAATAAATGAATTAAAAGTGGGACATCACAAGTAATTTGGATGCAATAATTATGCACAGGGGATGATTGCGAATATAACTCCCTAAGATTAGGTGGACACGCAATGCCAACCCCAAGTCCAAAGTATCCACCAACACTCGGTTTCACCGACAAGGGATATACTTGTGAGATGTCAAATCCAAAAGCTTTGGCAAAACCGCGTTCATGGGTTGCATAAGTATTTACGCAAGCACCTTCAGGATCTCCAAAACTCGGATCATTCCAAAAGTCATTATTGGACGGCAGCTGTGTTAATACTAAAATATCAACATGCAACTTGGATGTTACACGAGACATGTACATCCAATTTCAATTCATAAAATAAATGAAGATGATAATGATTTCATTGTGCCAAAAAAAGATTAATTGTTTTTTTTTTTTTTTTTCTTTGGTGAATATGGTGTCATTATTATGACAAAATAGATATTGGTGGGAATTGTGTGGTTAAGTTATTGATTCTTAACTGGTTTGAAAAATTAAAACGGCTCTTAAATGTGTTCAAGCAACACGTTTTATGTTTCCATTTTAGGAAAATAAAGCTACATGTAAAAGCAAAATTGATGAGAAGTTATATGACCAAAATTAAAGGAATATTGTCATTATATAAAAACCATTAATCAAGATGAATGAAAATTAGGATTGGATTTTAAATTCTAATAATTAATTTCCTAATTTCATTTAATCCCCTCTGTTTGAATTTCTGTTAAAAAAAATAACAAAAAGGATAATGCAATCATGTGCTCTTCTATTAAAAACAAATAGAAAAAGACCAAGTGACTACAATCAATCAATAACCCTCTTTTTTAATATGATTTTACAGAAATTCTAATAAGTAGTCAAGTGAGGTTAATTTAAGATTCGGTGGATAAAGTAGAGTTTTTAAAGTTTGAGGAAAATTGAGATGATCCCAAAATTTAAAGGGCACTAGTAAGATTAACTCAAATTTTTATTATTGAAATAAATACAGAAAAGAAACAAAACAAAATAAAATAGGGTATTTTATACATTTTTCTCCCGAACTGTGAGGGTTTGGAAACTTCCCCTAAACTTCTAACTGTGATTATTTGCTTCTCCAACTTATAAAACAGTTGTAATGTTCCCCACTTTATTAAATTTTCATATGAATTTATCATATTTAAAGAATTGAGAGATTTATGTTATAATTTGAATTAGGATGTCAAAATTTTTGCGGAATGTGCTTTTTTGTTATCAATTTAACACAATCATTAATAAAATGGAGCATATTGCAACTACTTTGCATGTTAGAGGGTAAATTGTTAAAATTAAAAATTTCAGGGGAAAGTTATCAAACCACTAGAAATTCAGGGCGCAATGGTAAAAAATAATATAATAATAATAATAATAAAAGAAATAAGGTGTAGTTAATAGTGCTACGCGCCTGTCTCGTGAATCGTGATTGGACAGGCACTTTAATTAACAATCTGGCTCACCTGCACTAAATGAAAACCATCCGAAGCGTCGACGCTCCAATGGACGAGAGTGGCCCTCATTTCATTATCAATCTATTTCTTTTATTCAGTCCCAATTGCAAATTCTATCTCTCATCTCCCTCCCAACGGCTCTTTTTTGCCACCAAAGCCTTATTTTCCACATCACCCACCAAACTCCCAAAAAAATACGACCTTTTCTTTTCATTTGTCCATTCTTCTCTCTCTAGCCGTTAGCTGGCCAATTCAATTTCCTTTGCTTTCACTCCCAAACGACCAAATCCCATACACATTATATTGTATACACATATATACATACATACATATATATATACACACACACACACATATAAATACACCCACTTTTTTCATATTACAAAATCTCTATAATTATCTCGACATCACTATGGATTGTTTGGTGTTGCCCGTTTCTATGCTGAGAAACAAGTGCATGGGGTACAGGCCTTTGGGCGCTGGCGAGGCGGCGTTTGGCGAGCGGGAAAATCCGGTGACTGTGGTGGTGGGAAAGGAAAAGAGGGAATTCTTGGTCGACCCTTTTGTGTTGGAAGAAAACCCTTTTCGGGTTTTGATCGAGACGATGAACAGAAGCAACAACAAGAAGCACAAGGAGGAGGGTAGTTATCTCGATTTTCGAGAGGGAAAGATTAATAAGAAGAAGAAGAAGGTTCTTTTTGTTGATGTTGATGCGATTTTGTTTGAGCACATGTTGTGGTTGTTGTACAATGATTGTTCTTCTTTGTTTAAGCTTAATCTTAAGGAGATTATTGACTTCTATGCTCAAGATAATTAGAGGGAGAGGAAAAAAGAAAAAAACAGAGGTACTTTTATTTTATTTTTTTAAATACTGATTTGAATCTATAATGATATTTTCTGTGCAATAACTTGTCAGAGTAAACGATAATGTATGCATACAAATTGTAATAATTATCATTAATCATTTATGGGAAACTTATTTAACTATCCAAACATTGGTTTCTTTGTAATTATTGTTATGTTCCTTCTTTTAACTATCCAAATCTTTTGAGTTTGATGAGTGATTTAAAAACATATATTTATTTTTCCATATTGTTTGGGAATTATGTATATCTAAAATGAGAGAGAAATGCTAATTAGTTTGTTTTTCTGTTGGGAAATGAAGCAACTATTTAGATAGAGTAACCAAGACTAGTTTTTGATGCCCTTCTTGCCTTGTTAGCTTAATTTGCATGCACAAATGGTTAAAATTACTTGGTCATTCTTCTTTCCTTTTGCGTTGCAAAAAAGGAACAATTTGGTTCTTTGGTTGAAAAGGTCATGATGACACTGAAGTTTTTAGGAGGAAGTTTGGCGAGAAGATATTTAGCTGAAAGATTATAAGGACAGCGTGGGGAATGTTTCATTTGAAAATAATAGCATGGCTATGTGTAATGAGAGAAGATAATTAACAATTTGGTTTCATAAAGTGAAACGTATCAAAATTTCATATTGCACATTGAAATAATGTTGGAACCAAGCAAATCAATCAACCATCATTTTTTTTTTTATAAATAGAAAATCTACTCATATTAACATTCCAAAAACGATGTATAAATCCTTTAAATTCAAAAATATGGTTTGTATTAAACATTAAAATTTCAACAGTGCATTCATGTGGTCTGAATTTTTAGGACAAATTTCAAAATACTCTCTCAGACTTGTGCATCTACTCTGATGTGTCTCTTAAATTTAATTTTTTTTCATCCTAAACTTTAAAGCATTAAATATATCCCCAATTAAGTTGTTTTAAGGAAAAAAAAAAACCCCCTAAAATTCAAAACTTGGGACTACCAATCTATGTAACAAATGTTCCAAATGCCCCTTGTTTCCATCTTATTATAAATTATGGACAATGGTTGAGGTTGAAGTTTATTCCTATATATAGTTGAATGCCCGCATTTACTACTTCTGGCATATTTATGCAAAAATTTTAGAAGCATTTCCACCAAAATTTATAAGGCTTCACCTTTGTAAAAGGATCGCATTCTCTTGGTCATTATGAGACAAGAAAAATAGTTGCACGGGATTTTTATTTCTTGTCCATCAAAATAATTGACAAAATATGGTGGAGGTGGAAAACTCTTTAACTTTTCAAAAAGTTTCAGGAGGAAAAATAATTTTTTTTTTGAGATCGAGAAACATGTTAAGCAGGTGATTAAAATTAAAGAACACAAATCATCACATTCTCAAATAGTGCTCGTAAGAGTTTAAAGATGAATCTCCCTTAATTAATCATTAAGATACTTAATCAACTAACATTCCGAAGCCATTTGGGGTCAATTTGAAAATTTGACCTTCCTTTCTAATTGCTATCGTTTTACTCCAAAACAACATTCGGAACTTAATGATAAAGTTAAACATTGGTTTGCCATCATCCATTTTCCATGCATCGTTGATCATCATTTTTCATCATATATGTAGCAAGAATACATTATTAACGTCTTTTTTCTTGCCAAATACCCTTCTCTCCAGATGCACTTTACATGGCCTAATCGAGCTTGCACTGAGTACATCGAAATAACTTTAATTTTTAAAAGAAATGAAAGTATGAATTGACTTAGAAGAGCCAATAATAATATGGGGTAGAGATGAATAAAGTGGCTTGAAAAGGTTTCTCGAACTAAGCCCAAGACCTTTTCGTCTGATGACAATTGACATGGGAAGGGAATTGGGGAGGGTTTTGGTTAGAGGTTTTGATTCCATCTCATTTATAATCTTTAATTCTTATTGAAAAAATATCTCTAATTGAGCCTAAGACCCTTTCGCCTAATGACATGGGAAGGAAAATTAGGGAGGATTTTTGTTGGGATTCTAGTCGTAATATCTATAGGTCTTATTTAATTCGTTGATTCTAATTTTTAATTCGAGTTGAGATGTGATTTTATGTGAGAGTTTTTTACTGTAGCAAAAAAGTTAGATGTAACTGTTTTTGAGAACTTTTTATTGTAATAAAACTCAAATTATAAACTCGAATCGGTGAAATGAACATTGCCATAATCATTATTATTTTATTTAAGAAAAAGAAAACTCTCCAACTGAGATTAAGACCCTTTGGTCCCTTTGATCCCATGGGGAGGGGAATTGGAAAGCGCTTTGGTTGTAGGGTTTGAGGATTCAATCCTACTCGTAATTATTACTTCTTAATAAAAACAAAAAAGGTACTCTCCAACTGAACTTAAGACCCTTTAGTAGGGTTGAGGAGGGATTTTGATAGCAGATTGTGGATTTGATCTCCCATGTAATTTTTATTTCTTTTTTACAGGCTGATAAATGGTATAAAATGTGCTTTTCTTTATAAATAAAAAGAAAACAAATAAAGGGGGAATATAAAAATGCCATTCAAAATAGTGCTGATTAACATTTATGCCACACATATAAAAAGTAAAACACATTTTATAAACGCATTTTATTAAGTCAGTTAGAGAAATAACTTAAGTGGACAAACTTAATTTTTAAATGGCATAAATATAAAGATAACAGAAAAAAAAGTGACAATCTATAAGATTTTCTTAAATGAAATAATAAATCATTCCAACTGAAATGGGGCTCCTAATAGTATGAACGAACTGAAAAGAGTGGAAAGTCAAACTTGAGCCGTGTATACCATATTTGTCCATCATCAAGTTAAAGATAAATGTTAGTGACACCCTAAATATTTATTAAGGCACTCCGACAACTTTGAAAATTAAAATTATTTTCTTTTTAAGACTAAAATCTCATATAGTTCCATAAGCACCCTTACAAACACCCCATACTTTTTTATCCCAATTTAAGATATGATATGTTAAAGAGATTGGATTCTTATGGGTGAGATTGGATTCTTTCCATTTAAATGAATTTCTTTAACTTGAAAAAGAGGAATAAAATTTTTTCCCTTAAGTTTCTTTTAGAACCTCAACTCGTGGAGATCAATTCACATCGCATTTCATCTTGTTGACAATCTACTTTTTTTTTCTTTCTTCCAGTTCATCACGATAATAATCTTTTAAAAAACCAATACATACTAGTCGATAATGATGATTCACTTATTCATTTTTCATTTCTAAAAATGCTCCTCCTCCTTTGAATACATGAGTATAATACCAAACCTTCTTTCACAGGGATAAATTAGAAACCAAAAAAAAAAAAAAAATATATATATAT